ATATGAAAAAGTGCTCGCTTTATAAAAAATTCAAGGTTCATTGTGAATCGCGAGATATTGGTAACAGCGCTTGGCATCTATGGCTTAGTACAGAATGAAACGAATGCTGAGGGCAGCGAATGGGAAACGACCGTTGATATTGAGGTTTATATATATACATATATATGACGCACTGATCTACAACTGATCATTCTATTGATTATTATATTTATTATGAAGTAATTTCAATAATCCAAAAAGATAATTTGAAGAATATTGAATTAAAATGCCTGGCAGATCCGTAGTTTGTACCGATATAATTTTTTGGATCGTTATCAACTTTTAGCCAATACTCAAAAATTATTGAAATTTTACGGTATTTTCAGAGCAAATTTTGAACTTAAATTTCCAAAATCATTATAATAAATGTCATTTGTTATGTGCGGTAATTGTTTGTGCATGTATAAAGTGGTTAAATTTAATCAGAGGAGGTTATTTGTGGTACTTAATAATTGGAGACTGAATCATCTGACCTCTGCTACTTTGCATTTGATTTACTCTCGTGCAATAAGAATCTTTTTATAAATTGCGAAAATTATTAAAGTGTTGAGCTCTTTCTTGTTGCTTGTAATCTGTCTCAATCTTTTTTCTGTGTTGAATCTGTCACTTTTGGGGAAAAATGGCAGATTTTGGATGAAGTGAGTGAAGTAGTATATACTTTCCTTGAATTGCTACTACTTTCTGCCTTTTGTTCTTCTCAGGTTATCTTCAAAGTCTGACTGCTTTGAGTTTCTTCGAAGTTTCATACGCAGGTTGTAGTTTTGCAAAATCTTGTTATAATTTTTTTACATGAAAGTGAAAAATTTTTTTTAGATAGCTGCTTCTGGTCAGACGAAAACAACCGACCTTACATCTGTTACATTAAGAGGAACCTATGGAGATGGGCGTGCATTTATTGCACATTTTAAAAAACCTGCTAGAGTAGTGGCGAATGTTCCGTACCGTGCAACAGTTTTGTTCCGAGTATTACTTTTAAACTATTTAGAAAAGAGGAATAAGGATTTTTGTGTAGTTCTTTTTGTAATCGTGGTATTTGAAGTCACATTTTGTCTTCCTGTCAAAGCTCTTATCATGTAAACTGGAAAAACAAAGTATAAGCTATAAATTATAGGAAGAAATTGAAACATTTTCTGGAAGTAACGGTCAGGAAGATATTCTCGTTTATGTTGGATCTGGTGGAGCGATTGAACAAAATTGCTCAGGAACAACACCTGCTGTTGATCACTGTTCCGTGGCAATGTTTGCTTTCCACAACGATGACCCAAATGGTATACGAAGAGGAATGACAAGGGGACCTGCTGTTTATACAGATGCTATTGGTATAACTTTTAATTTGTATGACCTCTTATATTGAAAAATGTCGACGTCATGTGTGCAAGACATGTTAAGATAAGCTAAGCGCATATAAATTCATCATGAAATTTTTCTTTAGGAGGTTTTTACAATCGACCTATCAACAGTGTTGCTCCCATATACTCTGAAGGATGTCTTTACGAAGGTCAAATCCCAGAAATTCATTTTATGGCACCAATGGATGTAAAGAAAGAAATTCCAGATGCGTAGAAAATTTGCAATTTCTTCTGTGAAAAAATTTCTGTCTCACAAATTTGTGTGTGTAATGAAGTTGTTAAGAAGCTAGATATTTTTCGAGAATTGACTCATAAAATCATACGAATGATTTATCAGATGACCGCTTAAGCAAGCAGAAGTCGCACTCCTAAGTAAGCAGAAGTCTCTTTTTTTGAAAAAAAATTTATTTAAATTCTGCTTATTTTACGTCGAGTAATAATGATACGGTAGTGACATTTTTATCACTACAAAACTTTGTTATTGTTCTTCTGTAATTTATTTACTTGGCAATAAATCGCTTTTGAAATGAAGTTACTAGTTTCTGAAACATATTTGGATATATTGGTAAACATGGTTGGTTGTGCATAATGTGCAACAAATTTTATTATGCTCTTCCATATCAGAATGAAAGAAGTTTTGAAGATAGAAAGCAACAGACTGAAGAAGTCAAAAGGTTTGACATGCTATTCGATAGAATTAAATTGGGCATGGCAGCAACGATAGACTAATACGTTAGGCCTTTACTTTAAGGATTTTCTAGTTTTGTAATTTATTTGAAATGCTATGGGATTGTAACGCATTAAAAATATAAAAGTGTACAATTTTTCGAAATGGTAGTGTGTGTTAGAGAAATAATTTAAGACGTGAGGAAGAGCGAATTGAGAGGAGTGCACACGCATTCCTGAAGCGTGCTGTACCAGATCATTTTTACTGACATATTATCAAGAAGTCTACTCAATGGCTTTTTTAGCTTAAATTGAGCGTAGGTTTGTCTGTCTCTAGCTGGTCAAACAAAATATCATGAAGAGAGATTTCGATCTTACGTTGCTTTCCTTAATTCTAGAATTATACGATTATAACGCATTAAAAACATATTATAGGATTGTGATGCATTAAGGACATTTCATGATTTTTACATTTCAAACTTGACGAAGTTTTTATCCTTGCAACATATATTCGGAAAAATCACCAGATAAGAAACCGCAAGTAAAATATCAAGATAAGTTAGTAAATAAACGAGTAAGATAGATAAATAGGTAAAAAATAAATAAAAAGAAGTGCCCAAAGAAGAATAATAAGTTAGTAAAAAAAATAGCACATTAATCTGGTTCCACAAAATAAGAAGCTATTGTACCTAAAAACAGAAAATATGGAACAAAGTAGTACGAGAAATATGGAAAATTATGCTTGGTTGTCCAAAATTCTGAAATTAAAATGAAACATTCAAAAAAATTACACCAACTTGAAAGCATGAATCTACAGTAGACGATAGTTGTTAGACTGGAGAATCTTATTTCTTAGTCGTCAAACTAGTGTCTACTTTAGATTCATGCTTTCAAGTTTTTATTTGATGGTTTGTTTATTTTTAATTATTCATCTTTACTACTCGGTCTATAGGTCTATTATTTACTGCACTATTAAACAAGTCTTGTGAAAAACAGTACCTACAGTACTAAATAAAACATAGTATGAAGTCACAAGATATATGGCTACTTTTGTCTTTCAGATAATTATCCCTTATTAGTTACAAGCAAAGTAATATATTAGATATATTTATTTGAAGAATCTTATTCCTTCATAAATTACAACCTTCCTAATATTCTTTACTTCTCTTTTGTTTTCCCATCTTCCAGCTCCATCAAAATATTAACCTAGATTTTTACCCCCCATTCTTATGACCCCAACACCATTCTTCTACACTAATTTTGACCCAATCCACTTATTTTTCTATTTATTGTTGTGATTCTCTAAATTCTGTTTCTCATTTTTTTGCTATGGACTATCTTCTCCGACAAGTAACCCTTCCACGTACTGAAGTTTCCATTCCTCTTGGCAAAAAGCAATAAACCCTACTTACAGACGCCAACAATCATTATAATATCATTCTTTACTTATTTAGCTGCAATTCAGATGGTATTTGGTGATTTAAAACTTTACTCGCAAAAGATTTACCGGTATCTTTTAACGTTTATAAACTGAATACAAATCACAAAGTCTATCTTTCAATACATGCAGACAGAAGAAAGATGGAAAACACTAACATAAAGACCTTTAAGAATGAAGCACTACTAGGATTTGTGCAATTTCTTGATGCAAGTAAGAACGAAATACAACCTATCACAAGAATCAAGGCAGCAAATAACTTTCACTTACTTCCAAACATGTGCAAGCTAAATTCACTCACAAGTATTGTCTTCTGGAAAAACGTAAACAAATGATATACGTAAATGATCAATAAAATTACATTAAAAAAGGAAAAATTGATAAAAGCTCATATTGTTAAAGATAAAGTAATGGTAGTGATATGCGTCAAGACAAATGGTTAAGAGTGTTTTTTATAAAAAAAGCTAAAATCATCTCAAAAAAAACCGTACAGAAATAATCACAGGTACTTAGAATATCATACATTTTCATTACATAATCACACAGCACAAATCTATCAGTGCGAGTTTACACAAAATATTTTAATGACAAATAAGGCTTTATTTCCACAAACACAATATGGAAAACACTAGAGCTACTGTAATCACAGAACAAATTAATAACGACCTAAAAGATAATAGAAGTACTTGAATAAGTAATTTATATTTAAACTGCAATTGCTATTAAATTATCAAAATTAAATTTTAAAAGGAGCGCAAAAACTAACAGACTTTAGACCAATCTATTTATTATTTACATATATGAAGAAATGTCATGTTTTTATGCAGTAGATTTTAGATATTATTTCACTTGTAATTTATGTAGATCACAATATAATATATTGACCACGAATTCAAAAAATGCAAACGAAAATCATGAGAATAAACATTACCATAGCCTAATGTGTAGAATTTTTACTACCGAAACCTTCGTCAGGAACTGAGATGGAATGAGAACACTCCTCTTGTTGGCATATTTTTGTTGGATGAAATGGTGGTACGAAATCCGATAAAGGAGAAAGATGAGGAGCATTGAATGCACTTCCATGCTCGGACATATCAGTTGATCCATTCCAGGTCGAATCCGATGTAAGTTCACTTTCACTTAGTGAAGGTAACTTTTGATAATCACATTCTTCCCAAATAATGACACTAAAAACATTACTGCTAATAAATTAACAATGGTATTTAACTGGAATTGCAAAATGAATATATTTTTTGTTCTTGATGACAATGCAATAAGTTCTGCTTAATTCTAGCGCTTAAAACTCACGTTCAAATAGACTGTTTGATAAACTGAAAAATTGTAATTTTTAAACCTGCAATGAGTCGCTCCTCCTCAATAACATTATAGCTTACGGAAAATTAAATATCTACAGTCATTAGCAGCCATGTTAATCGGAAATAAACTTGCTTCGTTTGTTCCTGATATTGCTTCAACAATGTACGCACTTCCTCTAATGTATGCTCAATCTCCCCATAATTGTGAGGTACTGGAACATCAATTTCTTCAAAAAGACAAACCATTTGAACTGGATGACATATTTTCTACAAAAAATATTTGGTTATACGACTGATCAAATTTATGATTTCAGACAGGCCTAGTAAGTATTGGTCTGGAACAGAAGTAAGATAGAATCAAATAAAAAGTAGGAAAGAACAATTTCCGACTTATTTAAAATCAGATATGCTAAATTATCTCTGCACGCTACTCTCTGCTCACAAAACCTGCATTTGTAACTGCATACATTAATTTATGTTAAGTTATCAGTTTGGTAATATTAATGCACTCATGAAACCAAAGTTGTAGCATTCTCAATTCATTTCAGATATTAAGATGAGAAATAAGTATCATAACTCATTTTAAATCACAAATTTGAGATCATATTCCAAACCAATATATATTTGGATAGCGATATTTGAGCTGAATAGAACACACCTGATAAGGCTTCTTTGAGGACTTTTTGCAAATCTTTTTCTTTGAAATAGTATTAGTGATCAAAGGCAAATTTCCTTGCTCTTGTTCAACTGTGTTGTGAAGCGCAAGCGATGACTTTACCGTTAATAAAGCAAAAGAAGTTCGGTATTCTTCGGACGAATCTTAAGAAAATTAGATCATACGATATTTACATTTCATCAAATACTGTAGAAATATATTTTCTCTTTTCGAAATCTAGTTGAGACAAAACAAAAACTACACATGAACTTAAAAAATGCAATACTGAGTTGAAAAGTTTTAAAAACTTTTCTTTTTACAACACATACATAAAACCTGAAATACGGAAAAGGAACTAGGCAGAATACAAGATGATGACATGAACATAAAACAAACCATCGCTCAGGTCAATCGCCTGCTGCTTACACGACTTGCATGATACGTCACTAACTGATGAAGTACATTCAATTTGCAACTGCGATTGCAGGGCAGTCAGATACTCGATCAATCTTTTACATGCCATCTTTTGCTCATAGAAAGGTTCCAGTGTTTCTTCGTCAATAAAATTGATCCCTATATTACGAAAAAAACATGAAAATATTTTTAGAGAACACAATGAGAACTTCCATCGGTTAAAGGTTGTAAAAATTTTTTTTACTATAATATGGAAAAGCTCCCTGCAAAATATTCAGAAAAGAGAGGGCGTTAAAATTTTTTACACATGGAGAACATTTTTGAAGAAATTTTGCGAAATGAAAGAAAACTCATACTATGGAAGTATTAAGACTTGTGAAAGAATCTTTGAACTGAAATTTTCAGTTCTCAAATAAATATTTAAAATTAAATGCTAAACAAGCAGCAAGTAAACGAACAAAGTTTTTGCTGATGAGCTGTTGAATATGGTAATGAAAGCTGTCGACTGGAGGAGATTCTATTGTTATTTGACCAATTTATGTACTCGTTCTTCTGTTTGTTATAATTATCAATCAATTCTTTTTTACCATTATGTAATTTGCGTAATGCCATTTTAAGTTGTGAAAAATTTCGTCTTTGTTGCCTAATATTCTCGTCAATGTAATATAAATGATTAGTAATTTCACGGATTGATTTGAGAACATTCTGAAATAACTTGGGAACGTGCAGTCTTAATCATCCAGATATATATAAAATGAAAATGCTACAGAAATAATCTCATATTTATAAATAAATATAACTTACACTACGCCTTTCATTTATTCCATGCAACTGGAATTGTATAGTTCGTTTTTCTCCCATTACGACGTTATATTTTCTAAAAAAGGTACTTCAATGATAATAATGTACAAGTAATGATAATCCTATCATAAAAATATTTGCTTTTTTCAAAGACACCATAACAGTAATATATATAAAACTCATATTCCACAACGTCTTCAATTCTGTGCAACATTCCATGCATTTAATTTTATCAGTGTGCTTTTTCACATTTTTTGATAAAACAAAATCCTTTAATTTATTAAAAAATAATAATACAAAAAAGACTAGATCAAATCACTTCGGTTTTTGGCTGAAATAAATATCTTTCTATGCTTAAACAATTTGATAATTTTGAATTTACACCTCTCAAAATAAGAGTCAAATACTTACGCTATTTTTGACCGATTTCGCTTTAATTTATCGATTTCAGTTATGAGCGCTTTCTCGGCACGACCGGAAGTGAACTTTGTTTCAGAATAAGCAGATTCTAATACTCTCAAACGCGTCATAAGTCTAGTTTCATCTCTATATACCAAATCGTTCTCAATATTAGATAATAAGGCATCCTATAAATTCATTTCCTTTTGAAACCTATACGCGAAAGGAATGCAAACAAATGTACTTATATTTGAAAGTTCAAATATTTATATATATTCCGTCCTTTTCTTTAAAATATTCCGCTTTTTAAAGCATCATATTCAGGTAAAAAAGTGATATGTGTTGTAAAAAACAAACAGCTACTATTTAAGAATTTCATGAAGTCTAATACTAAAAAAGTTGCTTTTCGTAAAGTAACCTATAAATTACTGAAACCAATATGTGTAACAGTTACCACATCGTTTTCAAAATCTTTGCTCTCGTTTAAACGTGGACCACTGTTGCCCTATATGATAATGTGTAAACGATATTCCACAAGTCGAAAGTGACGAACCTTTTCTATAAGTCGTTTTTTTATCTCATTAATTTCAATTTTCATTTGATCAGCTGCAAATTTTAGCTGCTCTCTTCTTTCTCGAAGTTCTTCTTTACTCTGCTTCGCCAAATTCAGACTGCCGATATTATCGCTACATCCAACGATATTATCAATCTAGAAAAACAAAAACTCATCTAGAGATACAAGCAAACCATCGACCAAAATTATAGTAATCGAGTTAATAAAACTAATGTAGTGCCTAATCTGCTTAAATAAACTTAATGAACCATCAAAAGAGCGAGAAATATCGAATTTCAAAACTATGGCGACGAAAAAAACCCTCAGTACTTATGAATAAAGAGACATTTAATCCTAAAAGAGTTTATATTTATACTCGTCTACATCTCAAGATACATTTAATATGAAATTAGAACTACAAATATAACCAAAGCTGTAATGAAATTGCTGCAACAATAAAAGTCAAATCAGATGGATATACAAAACAAACAATGAATATACTTTAAAAAAGAAGAACAAAACAAATCACTTTACAATTTATAGATTTAACCTTTCTGGCAGTTTCACTGATAAGACGATTATAATCTCGTAATGCCTGTTGAAAAGCTTGCCGGTCAGGTACTGATGGTCCACAGTCGTTCATCTTTAGGATTGATCCACTGATGAGTCTCATTCGTTACATTGCAGGAATATGCTACTTAAGAAAATACAATTAATATTTGAATCTTCCAACCAAAGAACAAAATACACAAAAATAACTTAGTTCATATCTATTCTCCATTATAAAAGTATCTGGAATGATAATTAGAGCTATACCATCAATAAATCAACATACGTAGCCTACAGGATAATTTATGATTCCCACTAAGTAACTCTACTTCTGCAAGAAATTTTCAAAAAATATTCATGCAAAAATTGATAAATTTTTGGCCTTGCTGATACATTTATAATGACTATCAAAAAGAGATAATTGTAGTAACTAATAGCAATCAGTAAATGAAAGTTGTATAACGATAATATTGAAAGCATAAAACTAACCATTGAAACTCAGAAGAAGAAAATTCGCTGATGCGTTAAATTCATGTACAGCTGCATTGCAGAAACCAGAAATTAACTGAAATTAGACCGTGTTTATGGGAAAAATGTATTTTTTTCTAAAAAAAAAAGCAAAAAATTAAATATTCCAAAGGAATATGAAATTCACTTCATTCTGAAGAGACAAAAAAAATGATAACTGAAAATAAGTGGTACACAATACTGCAATGAAACTGTAGCATAAGACAATGATAGGAAGACGGATAAAACTGGAAATTTCCCCTGCTAAGTGAATCTGTTGCACAGAGTACATCTTAATGCAAACATAAAGTTGCAGGGATGACGTGTATTTGTAGGCATGTATAAGAAGAGTAAATTAAACTTATTCTTTACGTATCTGCGTGAAAACACTCCAAGAATTTAAATGCTAATTAACTAATAATACGTCATTCAAAAGTAAAGTATAATTATCATTCAAGATACTTTTATAATGGAGTATTTATTAAAAGTGTCATTCACTGTTTTATAAAAAAATGACAATCTTCCAGTTCTATAGATTGAAATTAATACCTTAATAGGAGTAAATAATAATTCATTTGTCAAATAGAATTGGTACAGATTTTGTATACGACAGATTTCTAAGCGTTTGGCGTAGAATCCATGCAAATAGCAGCGAATTTTCTGCGTGAATTACTAACACTTTGAAACATTTTTATTTTGCATTCAACCCTTCATAAATATTAAGTTAATATTTCTCAGTACTCTAAATTTTTAAAGGATTCCCAGATAATTAATGACAAAAAAATCTGTACGAATTCCTTTCGCTTTCAGTGACACTTTTTCTCGTGACGTCTTTTCACTTTTCAAGACAGTTGCACTCATAAAAGGTCAAGGTCATGTACAAGTCAGATATAATGCTTTAAATCTATCAAAGAGATGAAGTATTGTTTGGAACAAACACTGCAACAATTTATAATATGCACTTAATTATAAAATAGATGCATGATACATTGCACTTCTTCAACTGTACTATTGTGATAATTTGCGCAATCAATTCTAATTTCTGTGCTGAGATGTTTTCAAAGGTCAAAGGTAATACAAAACCTTTCATCCTAACGCTTTGTCATTTTGTTTAAAATTTTGAAACACTGTGCATATACCCAACTAAGTGATATTCATCAGCAAATCAAATAACTGAAACAAAACATAATTTAATGTTGTCCACAGCAAATAAACTTTGCCACCTTTGTATGTAAGAACAGCACATCAATTTGTCATCAATTTGTCTTTATCATACTATCAATTGCTTTTAAACAGCGCATTCATGGGAACAAAATAATCGCTTTGACCTTTAAAAACATCTGACCTTTATCATATCAATGGGCTCGAGAGAAAACCCGAGGGAGGAAAAAGGTGGTACCTTGTCTTCAGCATCTTTCTTATGCTTTCAAATATAGCACTGCTCCATTATAAATGTCACCTGCGTCCTAAACTGAATGCCTACGCTTGGCATTCTTCCAATCGAGAAGAAATTTTAGGATAAAAAATGATGAGAGAAAAACGCTTTTGAAGTCTTGCTGCGAGGTAATAATTCAAAACCAGTGGAGAGTAGAGAAGCTGTCTAAAATTGCAGCTAAAAAAAGTGAAATATAGCGTATACTTCAAATTGGCGCTTTAAAATCGTTGTAAGAGCCTAAAGTATAGAGCATTATTGATATAGGAATTGGTAATGTATAGTTGAGCAGAAGTATAAAAGGTGAAGAGAGAGTGTGTACGTGCTTATCTGTCTTCGGGTGGCAACGAGGTTGTGCAGCGTGTGTGTAACGTACCTAAGTTGGGGTTGCATTCCCTGTCAGTACCTTCTGCTCCCTTATTGCTTGCAAAAATTAAAACTTTAAAAAGCAAAAAAAAAATTATAAAAGATTAATTTCTCGGGAAATTCAATCCTAAAAATTTCAACAAATCTACTCTGCTAATTAGTTGTAGTAGTAGTGGTAGATAGTAGTAGTCGAGTAAACTTTTCTACCCAATACATCCTCACAAAACCTAAAAAGCTAGTCGCTTGGGAGGAAAAAAATTGTAAAAACTTTGAAAAGTAAAAAAAAAGAAAACTGCAAGTTTTCTCTTTGCTGCTTTACAACCAAACAACAACAACAACACTTCCAAGGATTCATTCTTGCCTTCTTTCTTGATTGCCACTGAATTATCCACTCAACTGGTTACAGCTCGCACATTGACCTCTACGTGACAAGGTTTGTATTATTTTACGTTAATGCTCAATTTATTGCACATTGCTTTCGTTACTAACATTTCAGACTAATCATTTGCAGTAGTTTTTGAAGTACATTCATTTGCACAAAATGAATTGATGAAGTGACTAAGTTGTGAGTAAATCTTGAGCATTTTTTTGACTGCGTTCCAGATTTTCTGGTGCTTGTTACCTTTGAAGATACTTTATGTTTATTCAGATCTTGATGGAACTCGTTACATAGCATCTGACGAAATATTCACAAGTAAATATTGCCAAAGATTATAGAATTAATTATGCCAGTGTGCACTTGTTTTTTCTTTTTTGAATGCACAAAGAAAGTGAAGGGAGAGTGATTGATGAAAATATAGTTCCAAGTATTCTGAAAAACTTCAAAATGTAATGTAATTGCATAAAATAGTTTCATCTGTGTTTGCTGTAGTATAATATGTTTATATATGAGTAGTTGTGATTGTCATTGGAATACTAGTTTACTTGACTTTCTGTGTGAGCACGTGAACTGAAATATGTGTGTCAATGATAAATTAAAAAAAAAAACAACTTAAATTTCGTCCTCACTTTCCATCACAACTGATCTTTTTTCATTTTTCAGTACTTACTTTTTTCATCTAATAATCATTCAATATCTTCCAGAACTGCTAAAATATACACTTCTATCATTTTCAGTTTTTTTCTTAAGGCGGCATATAGATTATTATTGCACATAATCTCTTCTCATTCTTCTAATCGATATTCTTTTTTAGTTGACTGTGCTCTGATTATCTGTGTTGTATTTTTTCGTGATTTTAGTTTACTCTCTTGCATAATTATTATCTCTTCTTCTTCATATCGTTCGCTAATTCGGTTTCATAGTTAAGGGATTTTTGGTTGGAGTTACAAGCAAACTTCTATTTGCAATTTGATCTACTACTTTTGACCTTAAGTGTAATTACTGAATATAGTGTAATTTTGCAGCTCTACTGTTGTATTATGTCTTATAATACGCATATTGTCGCTTGTCCCGTAGCACTAATTTACATATTTTCATGTGTCTATGCAAATTTCAGTTAACTACATGGTATTTAAGGTGATGTTTCTAGTAAGTAGTTTATGTATTGGAAGGACGAAGGCAGTGAGGTTGTTTCTCCATTGCTTCCTTTGAATCGCGAGATATTTCCGACGATCGTAGTACTCAGTGAGTTGGTTTGGGGGTGGTGGGAGGACATAGAGGAGAAAGTTTCCTCCATAAGTGTTGATCTCATGGGTGCTTCTCAATATTTTATATGATTAATAACTGACCAATTAATTTTTGTCTCTAAGGCATCATTTATTCTACGTGTGAGTACTTTTTGTTAGAAAATATCTGGTGTCTTTTGTGTTTTTCTATTGTCGAAGGCCCCTTACTATTAGATTTGTAAATAGTATTTTTGGCAACTTTTTAAGCCAAGTAACGTGATGCATAGTCATCATTAACTAATTTAATAGTTGCTTTTTGAGTAGAATAAACAAAAAGAAAAATGGCAGCGGTTGTGACGGCTGGTACTGGAATGACTCCATCTTATCCAATGGCCTCTTTGTATGTTGGTGATTTGCATCCGGATGTAACTGAGGCTATGCTATTCGAGAAATTCAGTAGCGCTGGTCCAGTTCTCTCTATTCGTGTATGCCGTGACGCTATCACAAGACGTTCACTGGGTTATGCGTATGTAAATTTTCAACAGCCTGCAGATGGTCAGTTTCCTCATATGGAAATAAGTTTTGTTAAAAGATTGTATTTTCATCTAATGTTTAGTACGGTCTCATTTCTGTTTTTTTCCCATTTTGGTACCAACGAAACTATATGGATGGCGAACCACATCACTATATTCCTTCTCATTGTTATGTCATTACACTGCACCATCCACAAACCAGCGATCAATTTAAAAAGGCTCATCGATAATATTTTATCGTCAGTCAATGATTGTTTCAGCAGAGAGAGCCTTGGACACAATGAACTTTGACATGATGTATGGCAAACCCATACGTATTATGTGGTCGCAGCGTGATCCGTCGATGCGCCGATCTGGTGCGGGCAATATTTTCATCAAAAATTTGGATAAAAGCATTGACAACAAAGCCATCTATGACACATTTTCGATGTTTGGGAATATCCTTAGTTGCAAGGTTCGTTATATCTGGAGTTACCAATTTGTATCTTCTGTATTTTCAAAATAATTTGCATTGTTTTCAAGGTTGCGAACGATGAAGAGTCTAATAGCAAAGGATATGGCTTTGTCCACTTTGAGACTGAAGAAAGTGCGCAGAAAGCTATAGAAAAAGTGAATGGTATGCTTCTGGAAGGAAAGAAAGTGTGAGTTGTTGGGATTTACTTTTATTTTTTTGAGCTGGAAAACGTGGAACGTATGTGGCAATAATTGCAGCAACTGATCTAATCTTCTAGAGTACTGCACGGATTTGTATCTTCAGGTACGTAGGGAAGTTCCAGCCGCGAACCGCACGTCTGCGTGAAATGGGCGAAACGGCTCGTCGTTTCACTAATGTCTACATAAAAAATTTTGCGGATGAACTAAATAAGGAGAGTTTGGAAAAACTCTTTTCCAAATTTGGCAAGATAACAAGTGCAGCTGTTATGACTGATGGTGAAGGGAAGTCCAAGGGTTTTGGTTTCGTAGCATTTGAAAACCCGGAGGATGCTGAGAAGGTAAATTCAAGTTTTCTCTCGTAAGGTGTGTGAATTATAAATTACTATTATCTGTCATTTATTTTTCCTAACTGCAGGCAGTATCAGAAATGCACGAATATGAGCTCCCAGGATCAGAACGCAAATTATATGTTTGCCGTGCCCAGAAAAAGAACGAGCGTTCTGCAGAACTCAAACGTCGTTATGAACAGCAGAAGGTGGAGCGCATGCAGCGTTATCAGGGAGTTAATCTGTATGTGAAAAACTTGGATGATACTGTGAATGACGACGTCTTGAAGCAGAATTTCGAAGCATATGGAAAGATTACTTCAGCTAAGGTTATGTGCGATGATAACGGTCGTTCCAAAGGATTTGGCTTTGTTTGCTTCGAGAAACCAGATGAAGCAACGAAAGTGAGCATTTTAGAATGTGGACATGACAGAAACGATTTGACTATTGTTTAAATTTCGATGAGAAATAGACACTTCTTAATCTCCAAGAGTATTCTTGTATTTTAGGCAGTAACTGAAATGAATGGCAAAATGATGTGCACAAAGCCTTTATATGTAGCATTGGCACAACGTAAAGAAGATCGTAAGGCACAGTTGGCATCTCAATATATGCAGCGCCTTGCATCTATCCGTATGCACAATGCAGGCACAATGCCTGGTACAGTTTATACTCCTGGAACTGGAGGTTTCTTCGTTTCATCAGCATTGCAAAATCAGCGTGCTTTTGTACCGGCTGCAACTCTTCCTGGTGCACAGATGAGGGGAACCACACCGCGTTGGAATACTCTTGGCGCTACTGCTGGATTCGGTAGTTGTTTTCATTCGTCAAACACTGTATTTGACGTTAATCTTTAATGCAGCTGATCTTTAAAGAAACTTGATAATAAGCAATTGACTTACCTAAACCTGATTAGAATCTTTTCCATCATATAACTGAAGTTTGAATACATTGTTATATGTTATACTACTACATAAGGACATATCTTTGTGCATTGAGATTGATTTTATATCGTATTTATGTTTAGGCGTGCAATCACCATATATGGTCCAAGGTGGTGGATATGGGCAAGCTGGTAGAGGTGGTAGCCGTCAGACAGCTTCATCTGCTGCTGTAGCTATGAGAGCTCAACAAGCACAGTATGGGTCTGGTCAGGGTGGTGTTTCACGTGCAGGTCCACAGGCGCAGCGCATGGCTAGCATAGTTCAAAATCAGGGTGGGCGTTCGCAGCAAATGGTGAGTCGTATGGTATTCTTTTAATTTAATTCAAGTGAATGAGAGGAATTGCTCAGCATTGTAGGGACGACAGTCTCAGCCAGGAAAACCTGGTCAGGGTCAGCAGATATTGTATCCGTCCTACAGCACAATGACCGGACGTCCGGGTCAGGTTCAGTCGCAGCAGAATAGCATCGTTGTACAAGGTCAGGAACCGCTCACAGCTCATATGCTTGCACAAGCTTTGCCACAGGTTTGTTTTTATTAGATCTTGAAATATATTGGACTTTTGATATATTATATATATATATATTCAGTTTATGTCAAGAAAGCATGTAATAAAATTGTCTCTATGTATTATGATTTTCTTTTAGGAGCAAAAGCAGATGTTGGGAGAACGAATTTATCCCCTCATTGAGCGCATCTACCAAGGCCCGGATGTTGGTAAAATAACAGGAATGATGCTTGAAATGGACAACTCCGAGCTGTTGATGATGTTAGAAAATGAAGAACTGTTGCAGTCAAAAGTTTCGGAAGCTGCTTCGGTGCTTGCATCAAATAAGAGCCAGAATCCGTGATACAATATTCTCCTTCTTTTCTAACTTTTGAGTCCCTATTTTATAAGGTATTTCAGCATCTATCACAAAACACCCTATCCCACTCAGGTTTCATTGTCTTCTTCATTCTCTATAAACACTCCCAGTCCATTTTTATTCATGTTATCTGGTCTTTATTTGGCATTTCCTACACTGCTTGGGATTCATAACGTCTCATTTTTCATTTATTTTCGACTTCTAAACAAAAAGTTTTTTTTACCCATGTTAAACATCAATAAACTTATTAAACAATGAAAAGCCCGTGCAAAATTGAAAAATATTTTTCAGAAGTTTGCTTTCACATTCAGTATAACTTGTAATTACATCGTAAGAAAAATGTGGGAAACTTCAATGAGAGTGATTTGCTAATTTTTTGGTCGTTTCAATAATGTTTTATGATACCCTTTGCTGTTTTGTTATCCCATTTGCATTTTTTGGCTGGCTTTTTCCCATCTAATGTACTGGGCTTTGGTTGCAATTATAGAACCATAATGATGGATATAATTCCCATCATTCGATAACTATTTTTATAAAATTTTCCCTTTTATTTCCAGGTTCTTTTTTTATCTTGAATTGGTTTATTAAAGACCAGTTTTGTAATTCATTTAGTCATGCTTCGTCGTGAATTAAGACAGATTATCTTTTATTGCTGTCTTTTGAGACTTGGAAGTCTTGAGCGGATAAGTACATGCATATTATGAGTGAGTATTCCTGGTCCGAGATCTTATTAAAGCAGTCTCATGAGCACTATCTATGTATTGCGTTTTTGGACAAGAACCCAGTCAACTACTGGAGTTCATGAAAGTATTTGTGTGGTCATTTGAATAAACCATGTTGTTAGAATATGTCGTTGCAGCATTTTTTGCTTGAGAGGTTTTGTCTTTTGAGTTGGTCTGAAACAAAATATTACGAATATGGAGTTTGGGAGCGGCAAATGCGTTAAGAGGTGAGGGTGGCCGAATTGTTTGAGATGTGGTTTCGAGAATGCACTATTTGTATTCCAGAACTGATTTAACCAAGGCTGGAGATTGTGCTTTTTTGTTGGGCACTCAAAAGGATCGATAAACCATTAATTAGTTGGGAAAGTGAATGTAGTGGTAGTGCTGGTTGTCTTTCTAAGCAAATAAAGGGACTTGCAATGTCGGGTGGGCTTTGATTCGAAAGTATCTGCAGAGTGGCTTTGATTCGTTTATGTGGTGATGAAGTTATGACGTTAAAGATAAAATATCTTTACTTGCATGACTTATAGGTTTGTGGTGAATGAAGTGTAAACTTTCGAAAAAAGCCCAGGCAGCTTGTCGAACAGTGAACCATTTGAGGGATTACGCTAACAAATGTATTGAACTTGGTGTCCCTGTACCTTTTGCAGCTGAAATAACAAGGGACGCTAAAAACATAGCAGAAGTATGGAAGAAGGATTCATATACTGCAGATTTTGTTGATATTATTTGGAAGAGTTAATGATTGTTAATATTAATTTTGTTGATAACCTAGTAAAAGCTTTTGAATATTTGCAGACAGTGAAACTAAAAGAGAAAGAAGACAGACCCAGATGTCACCGGTGTGATTTAGAATTCAGTGGGGTTAAGACTGTTCTTTTGAAACTTTCAGATTTGCAGAAAAAGGCCAAGAAAAAAGGAACGAAAGTACAGGACAGGTCAGCATATTCTTTGCTAGTGGTTTAATATTTAAGAATGATTTTTTTGGCAAAATATTACTTTTGTAATTTTATTGATTTATCTTCATCAGTTGGAACTTGATTAGCAGAATGTGTTAGTGAGATCACTATATTATGTGGATTTGTTAAAGTGATATTATTTTAATACTCATGTAAGTATCATCCTCTAATTCTTCAGTTTGTAGAAGATTTATTTTTGCATTTCTAATTTTAGAGAATGTAAATTATTTGAGTTGATCGGTTACAAAGACTCGAAAATGCCAAAGTTTTTAGTGTTTTCATCTTTAATTCGATCGCAAAATATGTAATAGTACAGAACTAATTATTATTGACTTACGAAAGTTTAATATTTGGAATTTAGGCCTGTGCAATTGTTAGTGATTTGTAAGGGATGTGGAGCCAAAATGGTGGGAGGTATGTTACCATCACTGGATACTGAGAAACGACAAATTGAAGATGAATGTCCCAAGACGTTTTCAGCAATCCCCGTACAGCTAAATTCATCCCAACAGTCCCTGATACACTGTTCTCCGTGAGTTTTTAAACTCTTGATCATCTTAGTGTATTCGTAATTATTTTGAGTTTTGTTACTGACCCTTTCAAAATTTCTTTGATTCCATCTACATGCATCCTTACACATTTACTGCATGTTACAGTCATAGTATCAGAAATGTTCATATTTTTCTATAAATAATAGATTTTCACTTGTTTACAATAAAAGTTGCAGATTTCGTTCACTCACAGTTTTATGGCAATAAAATTAGTCAGGGTTTATATCTTGGTTTATTTCATTCTTACATTAGGCTAATTTTCCATGAAATAGTTACTTTGATTCAGTAATATAGTTTGGCATATTTTTTATCTTTATTTACTTTTGTTTTGATGCATTCAAGTGATCTAAGTCAAAATTGGTTAGAGAAGCTTGGAAATACCAGAGCTTATAGTATTTTTATCTGTAATACGATTGTGAAATGTGTAAAAGTAAAAATTCATTATTATTTATTTATGAAAATTTGAAATTTAGACTTTAGACACGCACAATTGTTGTTCTTCTTTAGCTATATATCCCAATGTACTTTTCAACTTTTGCTTAAAGATGCACTATTTTCTAAGATTCAGATATACATGTTCATTGTGTAGTTGTTGATTAGTTTTCAGTTCAAAATATTTTCAGAAAAATTTCATCTTCTGCTCGCCGTCGAAAGCCAGCATCAAAGTTGCAACAAATTTTGTCTGCCCAGACATCAACATCGAATAACAGCAGCTTGGAAAATTTTTTGGAAACTTTTAAAATTAACACTTGAGAATTTTTTCACAAAATTTGAATATTTAAATTTCAGACTTGAAAAAAACTGATTATCGTAAAAATTCGTTATAAAAGATGGTGTAATAATTCTTTGTTGGTTATTTTTCTCTACTACTGCAAAAAGTGGATGGCTAATTTCGTGGGTTACTAAGTGCCAACATTTATTTTGGAGGCGGAGGGTAATTAGATAAAATTTTATCTAGAAAATGAAAAATAACTTGAGTTTTTCAGTTAAAGAAATATAACAAAATGAATTTCGCTTTGCTTTAGTACTTATGTAAACATATTTCGGTATTATTTTTAAGGAAATATAACAGAAAGAATTGTTTGATGACAATTACTGAATGCTTGACAGCAGCAGTGTGATTAATGTAGTTTCTTTGTTATATTTCTTGATCAGTATGTTGTCATCGTTGTTTGTAAATGTTCTTAATTGCAAGGCTCTTTTAAAAGTACAAAATTGTTAGATAAAGTTTTATATTGTTTATCGTTTACATCTTACTTGCTGCTTTACTTGATTTCAACTAGAAGTCTAAATAGGTTGTATCGAAGAAGGTGGAAAGTGGATTAAAATGGGTGGTGAAAATTTAGAAGAAGAAGATTATTACCATGGATTGTTGCCTCGAGAAGATATACCACATCTATTAGTTGAGGAAGGTGATTTCCTTATTCGGACAAGTGAAACAGCACCAAATCAAACGCGGCAAATTATTATTTCAATATTAGTGGAAAAAAGAACCAGCATTGTGAATTTTTTCAGAATCTTCGATTTTATCAATTAGAGCTATATTTTTCTCAAACGATGGCTATTAATAGTACATAAGTTTATAGAAAATTTCCAGTACACAACTAATCATAAAATTAGGAGAAATCTATACAAGCAAGTGTTGTTTTATAATTTTATTCATTGAACCGTTCTTATTAGTATACACTAAATGAGTAAAGAAGTAAATTTGCATCATTTTTACATCGAAATAAAATAGATTGAACAAAAAAATAGCGGAATACATTCATTTAGGTGAAACATGTAGTGGTACAACAGACTCATGGAAAGTTCTTGACCGATGCCCAAGCAAGCTTTAGCAGTGTACCTCAGCTTATTCGGTTCTATCTCAAGTCTGGTGAACCTATACTTTCCAAAGTATTTTTTCAGTTACCAGTTGTGATTAATAATTAATTTATTCACTCTATGGTGAACAATAACAATCGCTTAGATGACTAATAATAATTATTATTAATAATAATAAATCGTAATAATAACATTAACAGTAAATAATAATATTATTAATAATCAAAAACAATAATAGTGGTAATAACAATAACTTTAAAATGAACAATAAAATGAATTTACTCTTCGATAGCAAAATGACTTTATAATCCTTGTGCTCAGTAATCTTAACATATCAAGTAGTTTCATTTCTCGATTATTTTAGTATGTAAAATGAATAGTGTGTAAAAATCTAAATCAAATAGTTTGATTTTGAATAAAATTGAAAATTATAATCAAACAAAACAGTTCAATTCTTTACGTTCCTTTCAAAAATACTTCTATTAATTTGTCATTAAAATGATCTAAATAAAAATATGATTTTCTATACACATTTTATTCCCCTCAGCTGAAAATTGGTTTACCTATTATTACTTATTCCACTTTATCTCCGGCTTGATTATTACAAGCATAATTTGAATAATAATTTTTATTGAGAACCAAAAATGATATGATGTAAATTAAAACTATGACATAAAAATGTCTTTAAATATTGAAGAAAATGGTTGATCTTAAAAAGTTTTGATATTTTGTTAAGTAATTTTAACGAAAAAGTAACAGTCAAATAGTTAAAAAACAGGAGGGGAATGAGTAACTGATGCAAATTTTTGCTCAAAGGTTATTACTGTAGTTTATGCATATTACAGTTGCCATCAACGGTTTTGAGACGGGCTGTGTCTCGAGCTCCATGGGAATTGAGGCATGAATCCGTCACAATTCAAAAAAAAATTGGTGAAGGAGCATTTGGAGAAGTTTTCAAAGGCACATACAAATTACATGCTGGACGTGTAGTAGATGTTGCCATTAAATTGGTTAATTTTTTATATAATTTTTTCAGATTATCAATCAATAAGATTACTTATTAATTTTTTGAATTTCAAAAAAAAAAAATCTATCTTACTTTAAAAGCGTATTCATTAAAATAAATGATTTTCAGGCTAAAACAGCTGAAATGACTAAAGGTAAAATCAAAGAAATGATGAAGGAAGCTCGCTTAATGCGTAATTACGAACATCCCAACGTAGTTCGCATGTATGGCGTATGCGTGGAACACGAGCCTCTACTAATAGTTATGGAACTGGTAAAATTACTTCAATATCAAGTTGTTTTTTTAATACAAATGCATTCATCTTTTGTATTCACTTCATTTGTTCTGTAAAAAAATTACTACAATAATCTCAAATATTTTTTTGTTTTTTAATTTTTCTTCTTGCTTAGGCAAACATATGCATTGTTTTAAGATCGTTATCGCAATTTGATTTGTCAGGAACTTTTTAAAAGAAGTTTGAAACAAAAGCGTACAAAAAATGATTGCAACAAATCTTTTGCAGTATAAAAAATAAAAATTGGTGCAGTAATAAATTGCAGTATAGACATTTGCTAAAATTGTTAATTTATTAAAAAATATAGGTTGATGGTGGGGCTTTGGATGTTTTTCTTAGAAGAAACCAAGTCCCAGTTAAGACAAAAATAGAAAAAATAGTTGCCGGTAGTGCTTGGGGTCTAGAATACTTACACTCAAGAAATTGCATACATCGCGACATTGCTGCCAGAAATTGTTTGCTAACACGTACTGGAATTGTTAGTTGTGGAATATTTATTACAATTAGAATAGTCTTTTATCTTTTGCATGTTTAATCGAAAATTTTTTGGGATAACAAGATTATAAATGTTTGAATATAGTAATCGTCCTGAATTTTATGTGAAAATATCGGATTTCGGATTATCACGTGAAGGGGACGAGTATCAAATGACAAAAGCCAGCCGTGTACCCATTAAATGGCTCGCACCGGAAACAATTCAGCGACTTGTTTATACGTCAAAAACAGATGTTTGGAGTTATGGTGTGATGATTTGGGAAATTTTTGCCAATGCTGAGGAACCATATAAAGGGATGAGTAATGCACAAGTTAAGGAAAAGGTTTGCAAAATTATACATAATTTTACGTAGATTAATTATCATTGAATTAATGGAAAAAATGGCATAAGCTATCATTAAATTGATAAAATTCTGTAGTAAAATCGTTTGAAACCTATTAAAAATGAATTAATGTGATATAAATTTTGAAACTACTAATAAAAAAAGAGCAAATTTGGTTACAAATCCTAAAAATATGAAAAAAGAGGCAAATAACACTCGTTACCAATGCCAGAGTTTAACCCAAATATTTTTCTCGTTTTTTCTTGAAAACAAAAATGAAAATTTTATTTCTTATTTAAAAATAAATTAAGGTTGCCCATGGATATAAAATGGAATTTGCATCAGAGGCACCTGCGTGGATTGTTCAACTTGTGCATGATGGATGTTGGCAACTGGATCCGATTAAAAGATCAACAATGGGACACGTATGTTTGCATGAGCATCATATTTTCTTAATAAAATTAAAAATTCAAACAGAGTGTAACAAATTTTCAAAAATAACAATAATGAAAACATATTTTGTTGTAGGTAGCACGTGAGATAGAAAAACATGCTGGCTTGAAACCACCAGTAGTCAATGCTATCCCGGGAACGACTGATCCGAAATCCACACAACATTCTACAGGTGTGTCTGAATTCAATTTTTCAAATGATAAAAGTTTTCAGTAGTATGTAACCAAGCATTTTTTTAACACTATTTTTGTGTTAATAGATTTTTGCATTATTTTGCTGCTACTTTTTTATTTGAGAAATTTTGTCAGATAAAAGTATTTGAAATATGCCTCCTTTTGACTTTAAAAAAGTTAAATTTTGTTACGATTTAGTCAAAAAAGAGCAAAATTCAGTTGTGGTCATTTGATTAATTTTTTCAGTAGACTTTTTACTTTTTGATCAAAGTTACTTTTTAACTTTTTGATCAAAGTTACTTTTCAAAATTTTATTTAATACAAACATTTACTCATTACTTTTTATTTATTCGCAAAATATGGGCAGTTTTTGTAAATAAATCGAATTTTCAGACGCGAAGCGACGGAGTATTTCACTGAAAAAGTCAATGTCAACTAGAAAAAAAGGCAGAAAATCAAGGAAAAAGGTAGCGAAATAGGAGAAAACACTGCCAATGGAAAGTAATACTAACGACGGTCACAATTTTCAATATTGTGATCAGAATGAAAAATTTTATGTTACAGCTATTGTATAACTGTATTTAACAATAATATTTATTGGCATTTAACAATAAAATTTATAAATTTGAAATATTTTTGCAAGATAATTATTTTATTTTCATTGCAAAAATTTCACACTTCACATATTTCAAGATGATACTTTGCAATTATTAAACTGCAAAAAATTTATTCAATCACAAAAAACAAATATGATATGAATATCCTACACTTTATATATTTTGAAGCTGGCAATATCATAGCTCGATCTGTAATTTCAAGAGTGAAGCATAAATAGTTAACATTTTATATAAATTTATTTCTTGATTTCTACCTTATGACTTCAATATTTTCAATAATTCTGTATAGTTATTTAAATAGACAACATTTCCTATAACGAACAAAACTAATATTAAATTTTATTTAAATGCGAAGGTGATATTCTCATGGGAAATTGAACCTCCCTCTCTTTTATTATAAAATAAAATAAGGCAATCTGCGTGTTAAATATACACAATTTATTTACATTTACTTGTAAGGTGATACTTTGAAAAGTATATCCAACATTTTGTCTGCATATCGCTTAACAAATTGGTGCTTGTGGAAGTACTGTGTGTGCCTAATATCTATAGGCTATTATCATGTTTAATTACCAGCTAACATCATATTAACATTACACAGTACAATGAAAATTAAAGCAAAAAATTATTACAAAGTGCTTATGAATAAACATAGCATCTGAATTTGAATCTGAGCAATATCATACAAAAAATTGATTTGTTTGATAACTTACTTATAATATTTCAGCAGGATCAATTACTCTAAGTGAATTTAATTTACAGAGCTTCTTAATGAATTTTATTTTCAGTCTTCCAAAATTGGACCTTCCAATTTTTCCCAATAGTTTCAGAAAATTAAAATCAAATCAGTATTGAATAGAGAATTGGCGCATCCTTCATGTAAAGTTTACGTAAATATTTAAATAAGAAATGATTAAAACTATTTTTTTATCCACTGTTGTGCACTAAGAATGGATTTATGATTTTCAATAAATGCAAACAATTTTAACGTTCACTGAGATATTTGTTTTGCTTTTAGCTTATTGTTTGATATGAACTACATTTTAATTATATTTGCAACCGGTCTTATGATGTAACAACAACTCAATACTTTTTGGTAAAATATTTTAGACACAATATAAAGTGGTAATTTTTAGCAAAGAAAATAGTTTAACAGAATTTTTTCATCAGAAAATTGAAATCAAATCATACAATAGAACTTTTATAAAAATGCTTACATCACATCTAATTCAAAAATAATCCCATAATTTTACCACTAACCTCTCTATTAACTAACTAAGTGAAAAATTAATTCAGAGTAATAATTTGTCAAATAATTTAAAAGTTATATTAATAATTATTTGTTCACATAGAAATACATTTTTATCACGCTTACTGTATTTCTTTTTTCAATCTTATGACTGACTGATAACTTGGATTTTGTATGGAAATAATAAGTAGCAGTAATACTGACACAAAATAATCATAACAATAACAGTGATAACACTATTACTTGTTTACTATAGATTTTCGTGATAATAGCTATATATATTTATTTGTAAAAATATTGTTATGAATGCATTTTTGATAGCACTAAGTAATGCCTATTGATAACAAATTATTGGAACAGCTATGTTAACAGTAAAAAATAAATAAACAAATAATAATAATAATAATAATAATAGCAATAAAAATAATGACAATCATAATAAGTAATTAGTAAAAAAAGCTAATAATGAATAATGCTTGTAGTGAGAGCAGACATTTTTCTGCACAACAAGCACTGCACTCAATTTTCATTATGATTATTTGAGTAGACAGAAGAACGAAAGTGAATTAATCAAATGAGACAGAAAAGATTGATTACATAAATGATGAAAGGAATGGAATAGAATGGAATGGAACGGGATGGAACGGAAGGGAATGCAAGGGAAGGGAATGCAAGGGAAGGGAAAGCGAGGGAAGGGAAGGGAAGGCGAGGGAAGGGAAGGGAAGGGAAGGCGAGGGAAGGGAAAGCGAGGGAAGGGAAGGGAAGGCGAGGGAAGGGAAGG